CTTCGAATCCATCGAGATTCCACGTGCCGACTAGAATGATTATCGCTGACTGACCTCGGGAACCTGCTGGTAGCTTCCCTTCACAATGAACTCACGCATGGGTTCCATCGAGGTCGAGAGGAAATCCGGGTGGGAACAAGCTGAGACACTGTTAAGAGAGCCATAATGATTTAAGGCAATCCTCTCTGTCAGCTGACGTAGAGCATCCCCGTGATCTATTCGGCTCTGTATTGTCAGGGTATGCTCCTACGCGCTGCTTGGGGGCAAGTGACAGCGTGGAGTCCCAAGCGAGTTGGTCGGAGAATATTCACGGGAACGAGGCGCGAAGAATCTCTCGTGCGACTCCTCCGGGAACCGTGCTTTTCCCCTCTAGAGCTCGGTCTCGTACGAATGCACAATGTGTTAAGCACGCGCAAGCTCGCCCAAGCATCATCGACGGTGAAACAAGCACACGCCTCGCCATAATCGCGGGTGACTTCACGAAAAAGTACGGAAATGCTTGACTCGCGGACCAGGTTGACGTGAGTCGTTAGCTTCTGGGGCGCACAGGTAACACCGATAGACACTTACCTGTATGACCTGCAGCAATCGAGCTGGACTGATGGAGACACCAACAGGTTGGGACGAAGAAACAATCTTGATGCGGTCCTCATCCCGATCGTAGAATATGCTAGATTCATTCGGGTCCGCTGGAGCCATACCCAATCGGTGCGAGGCGAGTTCCCGATGGTCGTTTCTCCCAACACGGGATCTCACAACACTCGAACACGCTCTACCTGAATTTCAGGTTTCAGGCTGCTCTCGTCGGTGTGTTATGCCACACGACACTGTTACGAAGAGAACGTAAAACACGGCCATGGAAAACGCAGACTTCGTCCGTCAACCAGCCCTGTCTGGGCTTCGATGAAGTCTTCGAAGTCGTGTGTGGTCCGGGGAGGAGCTAAGTGGTGAGAGGGACTGCGAGGGACCCGGGAGCCGGCTAGTATTCTTCGTGGTCCGTGTATCTGTCATTGTGCTCAAGAGTCCGACCACCGTCATGAGCGCATGGGCTGGATGAGCATGATAGTTCGAGGGCGACCTATCCCGTTCTGGACTACTGGGCACGCAGCCAGTCTACGAACGGGTTCAGGAGGCTCTGGCATAGACTACGAAGTTTACGCGAACGAAGTCGAGACTCGTGGAAGGTCCGTAACGTAAACACGAGCCACGACAAGCTAGCTCACTGATCGAGTGACCGCATACCGCTTCAAATGAGCACAAGCGACCACCCCGGAGCGGAGCGCGCATTACGCAACTTACCACGCGCTATCGATCAAGACGCTACTGCATGACGAAAAAGCTACCTCACTCCCATTCCTTCATGTTTTCTGCAACAAGCGATTCTGCTTGGAGCGGTCGTCATGATCAGCAACGGATGTAGTAATAACGATGACGACGACGACGACAACAACGAGTGTGCCCCCGAGTTTGACATTTCATGTGAAAGCAGCATCAAGAAGCGGACCGACTGGCGGCACACGCCCTGCTTGCTGAGCTTGCCCCTCCATAAATGGTTTAGTGGGTGGTTGCTGCTTGAACGGTGCGCACCGCATTAACATTGACCTGTGCCTCCTATTTTCGAGAGCGTTTACGACAACGGTCGCGGCAGCAGCGGCGAAACCGCCGCTCACTCACCGCTACGGACCTTCTCCCTCGTTTTCCGTCAGACCACCGACGTAGAAACGTCGACGACGACGACCACCACATTCAGACCAGAGTAAGACCACCCGAGTTCACTTTTTTCTCTCCATGTTTGTGCTTGCCCACTTGCTCGATTTTTCAAGCAGTCCCCTTGTCTTTCAGCTTTTCTCGCCGTCTTTTATCCGCACTGCTTTCTCTTCCAATGTCAATCCCCCTGATCGCCGGCTGTCGCTGATGTCTTCCTCGACCAGCTATCCGATTTTCTCGCTGTGTCGCTGTGGCAAGCCTCTTCTTTCATCCTTGGTTCGCTGTTTCCTTCCTCGATTTGATATCAATTTCGAAAACCCGGGCATCTCTCGCTATCTATCTCGACGGGTTCAGATTTCGTCTAAGATGTCGTCAAAAGCTCCTTCCTTTTTGGAACAGTCGCATATTTCTCCATGACGGCGACATGGTGGAGTACCCTGTGCCTGCGATCTATTTGGGACTTTTTTTTCTGACTTCCATCCAACTATCCCGATCCGTTTCGGATGTTGGGAGCACGGGAGAGATTTAGTGTGGGCGGAAGCGGATTCGCCGGGGAGCTCGCCCAAGAAATCATGCGCCGCCTTTCCAAATTATATATCCAACAACATTGAGCTCTCAACTCCGAAATTACATGCACAATATGTCGAACGCTCTTAAAAGCGTTTGTGGAACGGGGGAATCCTCTTTATTCTCCCCAGGTGGTCGTCGAATGCTCGCCCGCTTGGTCGACTTGCCGGCAGGATGAGTGACTGACGAACGGACCGACTGAGTGGCTGGACTGCAGCTCTCTCCGATCGACGAGGTGGTCCGCGTGTTTCTGTAACTCCTCCGTAAATTCAGTTTCAATTTGTCCTCTCTTGACGTAATCCGCATTTCCCGCCCGGCCCGTCGCCAGCATCCAACAGCTCGCGCTGCGCGAGACGACAAAACTCCGCGCGGCCCAAGATCGATCTCTCTATGTCTTTTCGTCCCTGGGTACTTGGAGCTCACGTCGTTGTTCTATGTGTGACCCATCGCCGGCCGCTGCGACTCTACTGGTGATCGTACTTGTTGTGATGTATCGATTCAGCGGGAAATCTCCTCAGCACTTCGTCTCGTTGCTGTCGTCGTGACGCGTCCTGTTCGTTCGCTCCGGCAGCGGCAGCCGGACCGAAATCGGTCGAAAGCCTGATTTTGTGACAAGCTGAAAACAAAGCTTTCATCAATAAAAAAAAGCCCCGCTCATTCGACAGGACAACGCGACGCCACAGGACCACCGCGTTCGGGCATAATTTGCTAAATTCTAAACTGGACGATAATCCGACGGGAGCCAAGATCATCATTCGAGTGTTCAAAGAAAGCTGACAGAACGACGTGAACGAGGATTCGCAAATACGTACATCGGAGATGTTCTCGCATTTGGCGCTCACTCCTCGACAGCACCGCATCCAGGTAGAAGTCAGTTCTCGATTTAGTCGACACGCTCTGAATGTAAGAATTTGTGCCGTATCGCGAGCGCATCGGCGGAATCGGGAGTCTCTAGTATTATGAATTAAGAGTAGGGCTGTGAATTTTATGCACATATTTCCGTGCATATATGCACATTTCCCGGGGCTTCTCCGTGCTTGTTACCTTCCTCATTTGAACCAATGAAACGTTGGGAGTGACGCCTCGTCAATGGAACGGCTCATCAATTTTCATGCATATTTCGCTCTTTTTCGTGGATGAAACACACAGCCCCAATTATGACTACTAATGACCCCGACGATCGACACCTGAGGGATTCCATCCCAAATCGAAATGATTGCTCAGGCTTAGCTCCCTGAATCGAGACCTGATCGGAGTTTTCTGATCCGCCCGTATCGTCTACGGACGAATGCACCCTGCGGAGCACTCCAAGATTGAATTCGCATATTCTAGCTGCACGGGAGATTCGGGAAATTGGGTCTCAGGTCCCCGGAATTCTCGTCGGGATTCGTATACCCGAATATCTGAAGGGAAAACGCACAGCTAAAGGAACGATTCTCACAGCTCTGCTCAGGAGGCCTCCGAGCGATATTAATACGTTCCTTTCTTCTAATCATCGAAACCAGTCAACGCGACTGTCGGAGTCATCACGGAGCAAGTCTTCAGATTCCTGATTGGCTCTGGTCGGGATTTGACTGGATAGATAGCTCTTCTGGCATCTCGCTCTACCCGAGGAGAAGAAGCCGTTTTCGTCATCCCAACCCAGCGACTGGTGAGAAAACCACTCTCGTTTCCCGAATCTCTTGCATATAGGGAGGCCAGACTAATTTGGGCTCTTATCAGCTGACGATGCCGCGTCGTCGTGATTATGGCTGAATTTACTACTGCCAACTTTCTCAATGAAATGAACGGACCTCGTTATCAGCGTTTATCATCTCCGCAACTACGTCGGCAGCTGCGCCGGAAACTGCTGCTTCATGGGACGCTCTCGATTCCCGAGTCCGGACTTCAATTATTGAGTCCAAAAGCCACGATTGTGAGCCCTAGTTTATTGAAGCAACTTCCTGTCCAGAGGCCTACGGCGGATTTCCCTCGGAATCGGTTCTGTTTTCGGACCGCGTCTCGGGGGATGGCCAACTCACTTACTCAGATCAAGTGACTCGAAGATCTCCGAAAAACATTCGGGTTGATGGACAGAAGTATCCTTGAGACAACGGGACGTTGTCTTTCAACATACGCGGTACTCTTATCGCTTCCTTCGAGTGGGAGAGTCGAGTTCCGCCGATCAAACGATCAACATTCTCTATCAATCGGGATGAAGAGTTCCTCCATTTGAATCGAATCCAGACATCACGAACTTTCTAATACATAGCTTGAGTTGAGTTCGCTCTGCGGAACCCGATTGCGGGATATCCAACGAGTGTCTTCTCTGACACGTCTCATGGGGGAGCGATGGAAGTCACAAGCTTCGCCTCCTGAGAAATGTTAGACTTCACAGCCCTCTCTGACCTTCTTCTGGGCTTTAGAAAAGGCTGAGCAAGCCCCCGATCACCCGAGCGAGCGATTCCCGACTCACAGTCAGTCAGGGATTCTCTCAATGCAACCGATCAGGCATCATGGAGCGGTGTTACTCGTCCCTTCGCGGTGTTACTCGTCACTGGCATGAGTGCTAGAGTGCAAGATCACTGGATCAGTCATTTCTGCAGCTTCTCTCATAGTGATCTGGAGAAGTCGACGCTCTCGGGTCACCGAGGCGCGCCCTCTTCCCGACGGTTTTTGAATTAGCGCGGGTTTTCCCCTCATCTGTCTCTCCTCTCTTCTGATTTCGCCGAGGCAGCCGCCATCTTGAGTGGTCACGTCAATAAACCCTCCTCCAATGAGCAGAGAACTCTTGGAAAAATCAGCAAAACTTAAGCAACGATTGTGAGAACTCGTCGCAACAGATGTCGTTGGTGGATTTGGAATCTCCGTCGACAGTCATCGATGGCTTGACACCTCAGGGTCCCGACGAATGGGCCACTCTGAACACTTTAGATGAGCCCATAATGACAACCGTGAGTGCTCACTCAGTGCTGCAATTGCGCTTATGGAGTCATCATTTTGCCCTGCCCCCTCGTTTTCTAGAGGATTTTTCCCTTCTCCATGCAGGTGATGCGGGACGCTCGAAGCATCGTGAACAAGTTCGTCAATGTTTACACGCCCAAGAAGCAAAAACAACTTTTACGGGATTGGGATCTCTGGGGCCCTCTTATGATATGTGTCGTCCTCGCAGTGATATTACAGGTAGGATTCCCCAACACCTCCGACTCGCGATACACGTGGCATGTGAATAATATGTTGGAATCACCGCTCTCCCGCTTATTTATTAGCCTGGGAAACACATGTCTGGGCTCGAGAGCAAGAGATGACAGCAAGAGTGAACATGTTTTCCCTTCTTCTAGACTTCCGCGGGGAGTTCGAATTCGGAGGCGGTGCCGCATTTCGCCGAGCTTTTCGTTATGGTTTGGGGTGGAGCAGCGTTGGTTACGTTGAATACCATACTCATGGGTAGCCAGCTGTCCTTCTTCCAAGTAAGACAAGCTTGGCGTTCCTGATACATGCAATTCGCCAAGTTTCGCAGCATTCCGACGCTCAACTAATTCTTCTGACTCATTCCCCCATACAGGGATTATGCGTGCTCGGGTACTGTCTGTTGGGACAGTGCATCTCGCTCATTGTGTGCAAGGTAAGTAGAGTCGACAAACTGGATTTCTTTCTCGTCTTCTACGACTCTCCCCCTCGCAATCTACTGGCTGAAGTCGGGAACAAATTTAGTGATAATAATTTGTCCCACCAGGCTCTCCCAGCCATCATAGGTAACAAAATGGCCCTGTTCTTGGTGACGGTATCCGCGACCATGCTCGGATGCGTCTGGAGCATCGTCGCTGCATCGGGGACTTTCTCGGGGCTATACGAGGATCACCGAACGATTCTAGTCAGGTCAGTGGAGCTCGAAGTCGGCCCAATATTTTCTCTCAGCTGCCCTGGATTCGAGATCTAGGCAATTCTGGATTGTCGATAAGGCGGAATATTCGTTACAGATACCCGATCGTGATATATTATCTCCTAATATCTTGGTTGATACTGTCCTGGTCCAATCCGCACTGTTGAAAATCTGATGATGACGTCGAGAGTGAGCAGAACCCAAACCGAGATGTTGACTAGTATACCTCTGTAAATATGAAGTGGAATAAGAATGGAAGATCGATATGTCTGTGACGATTTCTTGGTCGTCGTCATTTTTCCTGCTTTTCTTAGAGAAGAAGTTATTTGTTTCATTTTGATCTCTCTTTCCTCCGAGTAGTGGATGTGAAGCTGATGTGGCCGACTCCGTACGTCGGCGTCGGCCCTTTGAGATTGCCTGTGTTGTATATCACGGAGTAACTTGGTGGATTCTTCTCACGGAATGGCTTCCGAGAGAAGCAAGTCGAACGACGAAGTTCGAGGTGGAACTCTTTCCTTGTGCTTGATGGGATACCGCGAGTGACTATCACTCGAGTGTTTTTTACGGTTATGCCAGCTCCGAAGAAGAGAAACGATCGGCCACGCGGTTCACGGGAACTCCCAACGCCCATCGTCTCCAATCTTGTATTCATCCGAGACCTTCTGGTATCCCTAATGCAAGCCGGTTACGGCTGGTGTACAGCTTTGGCGGTCGGCAACGCCAACTTTCTCAGGATTCCTAGACAGCGGAACAGGCTCTTGCGATATCGAGGAGCACCCACGGTTCTCCCGAGACCGAAAAGCACCCGGGAGAGCGATTCGCAGAAACTCGGGTCGGGAAGCCCACAGACGAGCCCAGGTGTCTGTGAACAGGGACTTCGTGGTGCGGAAGATGATGATTCCAGTCCCTCTCCTGATAATTCTCCCGAAACCGATATGGAGAGGTCACCCCCAAGCGTGATCGCCCCTATTTTAATTGCGCCGAAGAGCGGCCTGAACCCTGGCAAGTCGGGGATCCCAAGCTGCGTTTCTGAGGGACGAGACTTGGTAGCAGAAGTGCAAACTCGCACGAATGCTCCACGTAAGCTTAGTGACTTGTCGCCTCCACCAAAATACGGAACGATGCCGGAAAGTCTCTCGATGCACGAGACTCTCGAAGGAAACACATCCCGCCGAGGAGCCGTCCCGCGACATGCGTCTCCGAAAGGAGAATCGCCGCCGACCGAGGATCTCAGCCATAGCTCGAGAAAACACCTCTCGTTTGGCGATGAAACTGTATCTGTGATGTCACCCGAAGCGGCTAACGAAGAACCGATAAAAAAAGAGCGCTTATCGAAGACTCAGATGGTCGCGCTCCGACGCTTGGCGGAAAGGAGCCGATTGTACAAAAAAATTTACGGCAAAACACTTCCGGAGAAGTACGTCTGTGAAACACCACCCGAGTTGAAAGAGCGTCTCAACGCTTTGGAGGAGTCACACATCAAGGCGAGGAAAGAGAGGAAACGATTGAATTTACAACTAGGCAGAGTGAAAGGTCTACCAGAAAAAAACGAAGCCCCCGGTCCGAAATCCGGCTCCGAGAAGTTCCATAATGCAGTAGGTATAATCTGTATGCGCAACGTCTGAACCCGCTCTTGACTCATCCCCCCTTCGAAAGCCCTCGTTTCCGCCGGAAAATGAGCCATTGCCCTTCTCCGATAGCTTCCGATTCGCTTGCTCTGTAGGAGAGGAGAGATTCAACAGTTCGACGAAGACGAGGCTAGTGATACAGAGAGGGGATTCGCGGGTCAATCAGGATTCGAGTTGAAAATCGATTGGTCTTTCAGGAAGTTTCAGAAGGAGTCGACTCTTCAAATACCGAGGAGAAGAAGAGACGAGCCACAGCTTCCAGATTGAACCATACGAATACTCCAAGGAAATGATATATTAAATATTCAGAGACAGACGAATCTCAGAGAGGCGGCTGAGATCAGACGAGGAGCAATGCAGCTCATAAATGACCTAATTTTTCTTCTCCTTTTTGTACATGCATCGGATTCAGTTCTAAGTTCTAATGATCGTATAGGCCCGAGGCACCCAGCTCCGAAGAGATGAACGGCGCGAGATGAACATATCACCGGGAAACAAATCAAATCCTTGGTTTGATAGTCTCAAAGGTATATGGGACAGGAGCACATTCGATAAAGAACACCTTTCGACCCCAACTTCTCGAAAGAGCGGAGATTCGCTCGTGGGATACGGGCGCCCAGCGAGGAAATGAAGTTACCCGAGTGAGAACCAAGATATAGGTCCCTGGCGCTACTGTCTCGAAGGGTACCACTCGATCAGAGCTTGTCACCATGCGGAAGCAAAATAATTGCAGTCTTCCGTAATATGTGGTGAAGAGAAGTTTTCTGAGATCAAAGTCGAGTGGTGGCTGTCGGCTCGTTGAGAGATGGGTTCTCATTTAAGCACCTCATCATTGGGCTTTCCAGGGAAAGGTTCTATTGAAATGTGGCCGGAGAAGCAGACTCTACTTTACCTCGCGCCCATTCTCCTTGGATGTCAGACCTCGACATTGGAATCAAATAAGCGAAATAGAAGAACCCGTAGGATGTGACAGCGGACGAACGTTGAGCAGTGTGGTGCACGGTAAGCTCTCCCGTGCATGCAAATCCCCAAGAATCACAGACAGTCGAACGGAACCGAGGATTCCACAAAATCCATCAAGGGGGAGGGGGAAGCGTCTGAAAGGGAGAATCCGTTCGGACTGGTCCGGAACAGCACGGGAGACAAACAAGACTCTGATTGGTCACATTATCCAGTTTCATTCACGAATTGCTCGACTCCATTGGTGGTCTTTGCAGCGAAACTCTACTATGAGTCTGCGCAGATAAGCCGGGATGTGTGGCGGGTTTCATTCGTTTTAGTCGACTCCCATAGAGATCCATGGCGAATACGAGTGTTCCGATGATTCGCAAGAGGAACATCACGACGGTGAGGACTGAGAGGGCAGATGTCCAGATCGGCAGTAGAAGAAGTGATTCACTCCCGCCGTCTATCAAAGAACGGAACGACTGGCAAGCGCGAGCGTCCGTAAAAGAGTCCGTGCTTGAATTCTCGGCCTTATTCGCAAGTCTTGAACTGCAATATACGTCGTCTCTCGTCCCGTATACAGAGTAGAATGACAACTCTTGGAACCTACTCAAAGGCGACAAGAAGGCAAAGACTCTATGGACTCCTCCGATGTTCGGGCGCATTTCGTGGAAACGGCATGTGACTACGCAGAGTAGCAACACGATCAAGCCAGCTCGGATTGCGTTTGCTACGGAAACCCGCTTGACCCGCAGGATTCCGGCGAAAAATCCGAGACGACCGAAATTGAAAGTATTAAGGAGCGCACTGACCGTGAACAGGAAGGGAGACCAAGCGCTCATGGGCTGCTGACCCATTGCCGACTTCCACGACGTGCCAATGTACAGCTGCTGCTGATCCGTGACCAAGAAAACAAACACGGACATAGCCACGGTACATAAAACCTCGATTAGAGTGTGAACCGAACTCAGAGAGCACATGCCACTGGTGCCGAGGAGGTAATGACAGTTGAAATACTCGTTCTTGATGACGTCGCAAACTTTCACCGTTATTTGGTATCCGAAGAAGAATGCTTGAAAGGCGAGGAATAAATGAAAAATGGAATATATATTCATGTTGTAGAGAGGCTTCTCGGCATCGGATAGCTCCGAACGCTTCTTCGAAAGAGCCACCAAAGCGAAAACGAATACAGCGTTTGCCACGACCCTCTTACTCAGAACACTGTTGTCCTCTGTGAAACTTCTGAAGTAAATCTCACGAAGCGCGTTCATTGCTTCTTCGTGATTGTCCGGCGAGAGTGGCTCTACTCTCAAGTTTTGAAATCCCTTTTTGTCGCCACGTTCCTTGTCGTTCTGAGCTCGCTCTGTTGACAAGTGCTGCGTGGTCAGATCCTGCAGCGATCGGCTCTTATTCGAAGTGTTGATGGAATCCAATAACTTTTTCGCGTCTCCAGAATAGGCCACATTCCCCTGACGGCCGAAAAGGTGCACGATATCCACGTATTTCATGAGGATTTCTGGATGAACACTCGAAGAAATTACGATCGCATGCCCGCTCGATCGGAGTCGTTTGAGAATCTTCATGATGCTCAGCAGGTCACCGTATCTGAGCCCTTCGAAGGGCTCATCCAAGAGAATTAGTCGATGGGGAGCACTCAGAGCTTGGAGTAATACCAGATATTTCGCACTGCTCCGACTCAGCTCGGCGGTGCAGTCATCTCTCCGTGACAGTATCGATAACAGAGTCCTCCCCACAATCAAGTTCCTGTCTGACTCGGGGAAGTCTTTCGGTAGGCTCCGGAGAACATGAGCCGCGATGGAGTCTTTGACAGATATGTTGAACAGGGTTTCGTCAGGCTCATAGTTCCGCACTAGGGTAGTGTCCCTCATTCGCACTGCCGACTCGTAGTGAACAACGCCACGATCGGGATCGATCTGATTCGCGAGGATTTGGAGCAGTAGGTGCGCAGACGAACACGGCTCGCTAATTAGGAGTAGAATTTGCTTGAAGTGAACAACCCCGCTCACGTTGTGGAGATGGTTCCCTCTTTTATTCTTGAGATGCAACGAATCCCACTTCACACAGGGCACGTCGTCGTCGGAGGTGGATTTCATCTCGCCGTTTTCCACCGAGAACATACTCCGATCGGTATTCGATTCCGACATCGCTCCCCGTACACCGGGCATACATATGCTCGGTATAAGTTCGAAGAAGGAATAACTTCGTCCGCGTCTGCGCAATTGACAATCCTCGGAAGATCATTGTGTTGGAAAATATTGCATGGAGACGGTGCCTATCCGGCTTGGAGATGTCCCTCTTCTCATCTAGTCGGCTTCGGTTTGAAGCACGGATTGTCTCACTCTTCGCCCTTCTCACCGACCGGGCAGGAATCAATCCCTCCCCATGCTTTCGATTTAGGGATAGGCTCTCGACTCTCGAAACACCTCATAAGATAAGAATGATCTACTGCTCGGAAAATTCTCAGCCGCGCTCAGAGTCGAACTCGAGTCTGTCTTGAATAACTTGATCCGATGATGGATTGGAAATCGGGGCTGCTTCGTCTGGTCCTGATGTGATCGCCCGCGAGGGATTGAATAACGTATCGAGTTCCTACGCGGGATCTAGAGGTTTCACAGACAGAACTCCTCCCTCTTCAGTTCGTGATGTATTCCTTCTCAGAAAATAGGTTTTGAATCCTTCATACGTCGAGAGCACGATCGCACAAGATGGAGCGACTCTAGCAAGCCGCGGCGTTAGTCCCGCGAAGAGGGCTCTCGTACCTGACACCCGATGAAGGCGTCTAAGCATTTTCAATGTGGATTCCGGTTCACGACCGCTGATGGTCCCGAGATCCGTTTGTCTGGAACGAGAGAAGTTCCGGATGATTAGCTGCAATACACTTCTATACTCGCGAAGTCATATGTATGGCTCTAATTTCTTTCGATTCATCACGAATAATGAATATCCCGCCCGACTCTCCCCCATCGATTTATCCAGCTCATCGAAACGAGGAAGCGGGGGTCGAATCTTGTCAAACGAACCTGTGCGTCTTGATGACGTCGAACGGCAGCGTAAGTACAGCTGCGGTGGAGCCTGCAGTCGCACCGGCAGCGATGGTGAAGCCTAAGGTTGGCCGTTTATCCTCGTAAAACGTCCTTTTCAAGAGTTCGTACGATGACCAATAGATGCAACTGAAGAAAACGTCCCGATAGAGCGTCGAGGCGAGACCTGCGGCGGCAATATTGTATGCATTCCTCTGATACGATGTTCAGAACTCGTGGTCCCCGATGAGGAACGAATCGCGAAGAGCTACATCCTCGCCTGATCTTGTGGTCCGCTCCGCTCGCACATGTGTTCGGCGAGGTGACTCCGCGGCTTAAATCAATGCTTCAATGAAATCGTGAAGACACGCACCCATGTACAGCGAGCTGAGTCCTCGAGTCTTGATGATCGTTTTTAGCTGTTTTGTGAGGTCTGCAGATGAAATCGCCTCGGACTGCATTTTTGTCCGGATCAATTCGAGAGGAGATATCGCAAATACTGTGACCGTGCGCGCTATGGCACCAGACGCCAAGACAGCGACGCTCGGGGAGAAATTCTGAATTCCGGACAGAGAAAATTCCATCCTGAGCTTCCGTTTGAGCGAAGCATTATCATTAGGGGCGCGCACTCACCCGCTGCGTCTGAAGATCGAATTTGATGACATCGTAGGTGCTGAAATAGATCACTGTGGATGGGATCACCATAGCCAACGTGGGCTTGAGACCGGACCAGAGAGAGGTGAGACCTTCTCGTCTGGGGATTTTGGTCAAAGCGTCGAATGTTCCTAGAGAGAATCCAAACGTCATTCGAAGAGATCATCCACAATCGCAACCATCACAGGCTCGCCGGAGAACCGCACCTTTGAAGCGCTCCTGAATGAGGGTGTCTTTCTGCTGAGCTTGCAGTCGGGTTTTTATCACTTCGAGCGGTGTCATGAGCATCACGGACACCGTTCCGCCTGGAAACCCACAGAATGATCGAGCCCTGTCTTCTACATCGAAAAGGTGGCGAGACATTCTTCACTGAAGAATGTCCGTAATGACCTCACCTGTCCCTGACGCCAACATCCTCACTCCCACACTCAAGTCTTGATCGCTCATCTTGGGAATACCTGATTTCCAAGATGAAAAAAGCTCATCTGGGCTCTTCAAGATTGGCTCATTCTAGGACCATTGATCGCTACACCGGAAACGAGTGGCAGATGAGGACTTTCTAGGTGTGTAGGCACCGTCCTCGCAGAGGAGCTTACACGCGAATGAGCCCGAGTGTCTAGCCCGTTACTCTGCAGAGAAGCACGAGAACTCCTGGATGCACCGTGGAGTCCCGGACGCCCTGATCGAGTAGTTCAAAATAAGCCTGGAGGAAGGTTATCCAAGGAAATGTTTCCGGTATCGCGCGGATTGTTTTGTTCGCCTCGACGCGCGCCATGTGGTCTGCTGAGCGCACCAGCTGTGCGCAGCAGATCTCACATGGGAGCGGATCCCGCGGGCGATTCGAAAGCTCCATCGAAACATCCCTTCAGACGGATGGATCTGGGGGCGAAGTTTTCAGGCCTGTCCTCGTATCGTACATCAAACCCACGCACCACGAGTGAAGAGCTTCAGGTGTCGTCTCTCAGAAGACGGAGTACGCTGGATACTGCGTATCAATCAAGAGTCAGTCAGGAGCCAGGATAAAACGCTGAAGTCAGCCCATGCTTGCATTCATGCATACATCTCGGTGATCATTCCATAGAATATACATCCATCTCGAATCAGGGGACTCCGAAAATTCAGGGAATGCCAATCGCGAACTTCATCAAGCTCCTCAACGCTCTCCCAGTTGATTTCCGGAATACGGACATACTATACAGAGAAACTCCGCGTCTGTACGAGAGCTCATGTCAGACCCACGATGAAACATTACTTTCTGAGTTTTTGCCTAGACGATATAGGTAAGATACTCTAATAGTCGACCTGGATGATTCGCTTCCATCGAACCACCTTTCCCCCTTTGAGGATTAATCTTAGACCTCGAACGCCAATTTTTCCGTCTGACTGTGACACGGGCATTTCCCGCTGCAGGCACGCAGAAGCATGTCAGATCATGGGACGGTCGATGAATTCCCCACACATCAAAAAAAAATCGTCTCCTGAGTGACGAAACCTGAAGCTCTTCCCTCCAGTCAGTAAGTTCCGTTCCGTGGTGCGCGGGTTTGATATACAATCCGAGAATCCGGGGAATTATATCATGGCGAACACGCCTTGAATCTTGAACCTCATGTTCTTTCCAGGCTCCAGGATGTTAGGCTTGCTTTTGTGCGCGATTCAGGGAACACGGAACGAACCACAGACTTGTTTTTTGATGGCGATCGGTTCTCAAAGTCGAGAGCTGGTGTTCAGCCGAAGGAAAATCATATGGTGTCTAAGCTCGTCTCAAATCATCTCTCATGGACGATGCATCAATATCTCCCCCCAAAACTCTTTGATTCACGTGGAAGTTGTCAGCATCTCAATTTTCCGCGACCCCAGAGGTTATCGGGGACCTTCGATTAATTGTCCTCGGTAGCTTTGGCCTGATAGATACGAGAGCAGGCGAAGAACTGTAGCCATCATGAGGAAGGGAATTCCGCTGATCGACTCGAACCCGAGTGAGCTATCTATTACGGGAACATTACGTCTATGGATGCAAGAAGCACCGGAAGTGTATTTCTTGTATCGTGCCGTCTACTTCGTCGAATTTTACAAAATCGAGTGACGACAAAATTCTGTTCCCTTGGAGAATAGCCGAGACGCGGAAGATTGTTTCCCGAGCCAAGATGATCACCAAATCGAGCGCTGACTGTGTGCATATTGCGGGAAGCCGGGATATGGACTCCATAGAGAAGATGATCGGAGTCCAGCCGAGGCGTGTCATTGAGCGCGCAGGCATGGAAGTTGTTGAGTCTTGCTGCCCCTATGCGAAGACGGATCGGAGCCGATACTCCCCTTTGTAAAGGAATCAGCGCGTGAATGAGCTCTTGAAGACTTCAGGAATTTCTCGAGGAAGACCCCAGTTTGACAGCTACGGACACCGTTCTGAAAATCGTGTTTCCCGCCGGAGGAGCGTCCGCCCGCGACGGAAGTTCCTGAGCGTAAATTGATTCTCCGACGGAGATCGGTCTCGTGGACAAGAAGCGCGAGGTGCGCCGAGCTTCCGGCTATTTGTTATTCGCCAAGGGTCCGATCTGCCCTCCCTATCCTCTGAACACTGCATTCCCCTCAGTCTCTGTGATTGTGATCGGAAACCTATGAGCTTTTTGACGTGACGCCGAGAGATTGCTGAATAGCGAGCCATTAAACGGTTTTATGAATTTATTGAATTGAATATCAGATCAGCATTTCAACTTCTATTGTGATCTAACAACTAACAATCCGACCGATCCGGGTCGGGAGAGGAAGTCCAGGAAAGCTGACCAGGAGCGGCGCGATCAATGTCCTACTATAATATGGTTGTTTGTTTGTCGACATAATTATGAATATTGTTTATCATATTGTGTATAATCATCATTCCGTTACTGGTATCAATCTTACCTTCGTCGATGTCATCATCGACATAATCATCAATCAATATCAATAGCAACAGTGTTTTCGAGAAAGACAGCGATTGCACATGAACGTCTAAGACGCGATGCTTCCTCAAACTTTCATCCCGCTTTCGTTCTCGCTCGCTCGTTCGCTCCAAGATCAAGTTATGTCATAGGCATATATATATGTATATAATCATCATCATTATCATGGTATATATATGTATATATATATGAATGGGTGATGACCGTCATTTTCAAAAGGTGTTTCGAATATTTGAGGTAGCGACTGTGTAGAAAACGCTCGCAAGCGGAACGGCACCGGAGACGAGAAGTAAAGATGCGCGTGAGGCTTCAGAGGCTTTCTTTTCGATATGAGCTGGCCGAGTTTCCTCCAGGGCGACAGCTCATTTCGGGGCACCACGCACTCGGTTCGCCCCCGTAGCAGGTGAGCGACCAAGATGGTCTAGCCGGATTCATTTCTCGACTTCGCGCATTTTCCCGTCCTCGTCAATCCACAAGTTTCGATTGCGTCCTCTCGCGTTGTTGTATGCACTAATCAATCTCTCGCTCCTTCCAAATAACGGTTCTATCATCTTATATCGCAGCAGCTCTAGGTAAATAATTCGGATTTTCTTCTGTTGAGATGATGACGACTCGGCTCGAGTTCGACTGAGTCGTCCATCGAATCGGTGACCCTCTATGGAGACTCGAGACGGGGTCGAGCTAGATTCAGTATGTTCAATGATATGATTCTGCTATCCATGAACTACTCATACATGTTACTGTCGATATTGATGTACTTGTATCTCTTGTTGTTGATTTCACTCAGCTGTTCATGATGCTTTAGACTGGTTTCCGCCTGAGTTGCATATAGGCGTACGCTTAATCAGATTCTTCCGTCAGATAAGTATATATCGGATAAGTAGATCTTATGGATAGTGAAAAACCTATGTATTCATGTAAAATGGCTGACTGGTTGGTTTGAAAGTCGCATGGTATCTTGTAACTTTAGGTCATTTTTATTCGTTTTTTCTTCTTCGATTTCGGTGACGTTGCTGCTTGTGGGGGGTTCGAATGAGTTGTCCTAGGGTCCGAATGGATTCGAGTTCAAGGTGTGTGTTTAGGCGGAATGATCTTCGGTGAGAGCCTCGAGTCTGTCAGCGCTCTCAAGATATATCCGATCGCTCCCCCGAGGGAGGTGCGAGAGTTCCAACGATTCCAGATGCATCAGATTCTTCCTCGCTCTGATGTTTCTCCGCTTAGAAAATCTCTTCGAGAATTTCCTATGGCTCATTTGATTCGAAGGAACTGATCGAATGGGGGGTTCGTGATATGTACCTTGTTCTTCCTCTTTCTCCCAAGGACCGTCAGCGTGAATTCGTTCATAATTCCCGTGATGAGTTTCATTTCTCTTCGTCTCCCAATCATTGTGGGTTAAGATGTCGAAGTAAAGGCTAATATTGTATGATTGTATGATTGTAAATAACTTCACGCCGAGAAGACGGAATCTTGCTCGGGCATCTGGAAAGACTTGCGGGCGGCTTTAGTGCGGTATCCCTCCTAATCAAGTTTGTTGGCAAGAAAGAAACTGTCGACGGTTCGGCACTCAAAGCTTGGAGCGGGTCATTTGCCGCTATTTGATATTTCGTTCCAAAAATGGTATTCGCCCTCGATGGCGACAACGCTAGCGACGTGACTCCACTTGCATTGAGTTGTTTGCTCTCTTTCTGTCGACCTGTCTTGTATGACTTGTCTTTTGGGTATAGTTTTCTTCCAAACTAAATGGGCACGAAGTGAAAGACTTGGATTTATCATGTCTTGCGGGTAGTTGTTGGTACACGTCTACGGCACTAGCGCTGCATTGAAAGTCTTCTGGGTTGTGTAGTTCTTCACTTTTTGTTGAGTTCAGCTCTGTGTGTGTTCTGACATCCGTATCGGACGGCACGTCCGGGTCAAGGCTTGGGGCGGCACTCCCGGAGAGTCGAGAGTGCCTATAAGTTTCCGAATCAGGGAAGACTACGACATGAGATTGATTTGAGGGCGGACTTGGGATATGAGGTTTGACAATTTACGGACTACTCAAGCTTATTGTCCCCGGCGTGTCCGTCCAAGTCATTTGAGGTGTTGACGCTGAGTGTGGTAAGTTTACTCATTACTGCAATGGTCATCGGATACAGTAATAGTCATGTAGTTCGAGTATAAGTAATTACTGTTAGATATGTTTCTCCTCGCAATAATCGTTCAGTGAATGATATGCATCGCAATGTTTTTCGAGTCATTCGCATGTTCGCCTCCGCTACGATATGCTAATATAGCCATATAAGTAAATGAGGTATTATCAGATATGTATGCGCGTGTACTAGGAAGGCAGATCAAGGAAGCTGGATTCCTTGTTCGATGAGTAGAGGATTCCTCTCGTTCTCGATAACTAAATGAGCTCCAATGAACTTCCTTGTTCTAAGTTTTCTCCGATCAGATTCTTTTTCCAGGGTTTTGCTTGAGTCTCCGGTAGCCATCATCATCGGCGACGCTGTGAACACGTATGATCATTGATTTGATTACAACACGACCCTGCTGCTTTCATGATGCGGGGTTATATAGCTAGATACACAATCAGCTTCGGAGGAGAGAGTTCCTGTTGTTGTTGTACGACCAACAGCATGACCGACTTGGATAGCCTGTGGGGCGAACCGTCGTCCCATCGTCCTTGTCGGTGCACGGGTCTCGAAAAAAATCAGTCAATCGGTCAATCAATCAATCAATCGATCAAACAATCAGTCAGTCAATCAATCAATCAATCAAAGCACGATGCAGTCATTCCGTCACGCGACTGGTCCTTGGACCGAGAATTTCGTAATTCCATTCGTTGAAGTAAACGATTCCAGTGGTGCCGATTAGTTTATGGGGAAGTTGCTGAAGTGATAACAAATAACGCCGGTAACAGTTGGCGTCGAATCGCTCCGAATTAGAAGTGTCCATGTCTTTTTCCAGCCGGACAAGCCGTCAGAGATATGTAGCGCAGGCTGACGTCGGCTCGCAGGAGCCGAGGATCCGCAGCGTTAGGGCACTACGGTCGCGGTGCCGGACCTCCCGAGAAGGAGCAAAGGCCGGGTTAGATTTGAGTTTCGCCCTCGGTCGGATGCGAGTTGCGACTCTTGTCTTGGAGTTTCCTCGCGTCCATTTCGGCTAGCTCGTCTTTGCTCAGATGATGCACGATTCCAGCGCCATAAGCGTCACCGAGCACATTGATCGACGTTCGGATGCGATCCCTGGAACGAGCCGAGATAAGGAATGCCCCAGTGTATGCTGCCAATAATTCTCGCCGACATAAAATATTCATTGACCATGGGCCGCCGTGAGCTCACTCGAGCATGCCAAGGGAAAAATACTCACAGCAACCAGTCGACGGCGACAATCATCGAAATATCTTCAGTTGGAAGACCGACTGATGTGAGCACGAGCAGCATCGTAACGAGTCCTGCCGACGGTACGGAAGCGGCTCCGATGGAGGCGGCCGTTGCCGTCAGAGACACAGCGATTATCTGTCCTGTGCTGAGATAGATGCCTGTCGGGAGCAATCAAAATGAGTTTTACATTGTCTAAGGGACAAGGACGTATCGCGATAAATTCATGCGTAGGCCTGCTCCAAGCACCGTGGAAGTCGCTTAGGGCTTCCTCACGCATCAAATTGACTGCTCTTCATCTCGAGAGCACATCACAACGACAAAGGGAAAGATAGACGACGCGACGCGGAGCTTATGGAAATCGGAGAAGAATATGAGGAGCCGAATGATGGGACTTGAGGCGAATATCGGTCGACCACGAGGAGCTGTTCTTCCCTCGGTGCTCAGAGCCGGAGTCTCTGAGAGAACTCTTTCGGGAGTCGCTTTGTCCCTCGGAACACCTGGGTGTCCGTCTGGCTGTCAATCTTAAGCCCTTCTCTGAAAGGAGGCAGACCAGAAGCAAAAGAGTCGATTTCGACAAAGTGCTCCGGGACGGGAACATTCTCAGTCAGCTTGGATCGATCGATCGAGCGATATTCGAGGGATTTTCTTCCCTCTATTCCGAGTCGAGTAAATTTTCCGTTCGGCCGCCGGTCCTCCTCCTCCCCCTAGCTCGTTCATCGAGAAGCCGAGAGGCTGACAACTCGGAGAGCACTCAAAGATCGAGTCCTGCTGACCGCTCGACACTCAGGAGTCTCGGGTTCGGCGAGACCAGGCCTTGGCAAGCGAGACGGGCGAAAAACCTGTCTTCTAGAAAAGCTTGCTTTCGGTGTGCCGTTCGGAACGATCGCAGTAGAACATCGTTACATAGCAGCCGCTTGCCTTACTTAACCCCATTCCGAATTCGAATCAGACGCTCGCTCAGATAGCGGTCATTTGCCGCGAGTGACGAGTCGACCGCCCGGCCGAGAGACGAGCTCAACGAGTCGAGCAAAAGGGTGCGAGTTGACACTGTCTACAGCTTCTACTTCTCCTCGGCAACGCCCAACGCTAACATGAGCGGAAACGAGCTGAATCAGCTACAAGCCGTTTTCAGGAAGACAGCCACTCTAGGGCCTGCTTTTCGCCTGTCGATGTTTTTCCGAGAGGATTCAAAAGTTATATGACAACGGTCAAGTTCGTGTGAGAGTTCAGCACTTCCTGCCGAACAAGGTCGTGAGGCTCCGGAAGGGAAGCTCTCTTTATTATCGAGAAGAGTGTCGCGAGCGCTCTCCGCTCGTTGTAAGCCCCGATATTTATTGTCCCTCACTTCAGCCTGTCAACAGGCGTACCGCGAACCACCCATGGTTCGCAGTCTCTTCCTCTTCTAGGACCGGAGGGAAGCATATATTCTAGACGATACCGCCTCGGGGAGGTAAACAGAGAAATCCCCGATTCCGCGTCAAGAGACATCTCCCCCGGATTCTGAAGGACACCCAAGTCCTATGCGAGACGCAGGGAACTGAACACGAACACCGATCTGGGAATCGGAGCCTAATTCTGAAAATTATCGCAAGAGAATCGAAATCAAAGAACAGAACCCACCGTTCATTTGAGCGATGAAGATCGCTGCGACGGCTTCATAGAGGGCAGTTCCGTCCATGTTGACGGTGGCTCCCACGGGCAGGACAAAACGGGTCACACGTTTGTCGATGTGCAGATTTTCTTCCAGGCAACGGAATGTCACCGGAAGGGTGGCCGCGCTGAATGGAGGAAAAAGAAGATTTAAGGGAAACATCAATGAGAGAAGTTTCTACCGAAAGCATTCGGATCTTCTCGAGACCCAAGATTTCCTTTGTGAGGTTTCTAGAGGACCGATGATCTCAGAGAAAGGGATCGGGGACGACGGCAAACTCAAGATCCCTTCGGATTTCATTATAGGATTTTAGCGGAATTCAAGGAGTGGAACGCAACGATGACTGACCTTGAGGCGGTACCCAAGGCAGTGATCCAAGCTTGGAGCATGCCTTTGAAGAAAGTGAAGGGGTTCTGCCTTGTGATGGCGAAGAAGATTCCAGGCAGCGTGATCACTGCGTGTATCAACAGGCCGACGACGACAGTTACCATGTAAAGACCCAGCTGAGCTGCGGTCGATGCAAGATCTTCTATCGACATGATTTTGCCAATAATCAACGACATAATACCGAAGGGTGAATACCACATGACCAACACGACGATTTTCATAACAATTTCGTTTAGCTGAAACAGATGGAGCGTTTGAGGAGAGAGCAGATACTCCGAAATTCTCCGGAAGTCGGAACGAGAGGGAAAAGACCTACAGACCGTCGTTGTCGTTGTCTAGCTTGCGTACGTACCTGTACGAAAAATTTGACCATGAGATCTGCTTGGGGGCCCATTTGTCCAGACACGACACCGAATGCTATGCAGAACACGATCAGACCGAGGACATTGGTGCCGTTTTTAAATACTATTTTTCGTTTCAACATGGTCACTGGCGGACTGTCTTTATCTATTCCGGGTTTCGTAACGTTTTCGTAAGTCGTTTCTACTTGTTGGAAGCAAGCCTGAAGCAGGTTTTCGGGGAACATGTTTCTGGAAATGAGAGAGGATCACTGTTTTAGGATATGCTGTATTCTCTGAGGGAACATCAGAAGCACAGATACCATGTATCAGAGTGTCGGATCAATTCCATTTACCGAATCAGATCGAGGAACGCGTCGAGGGTTGTAACTTTTTTCTCTTCCCTCGTGAGAGAAACTCCTTCCTTGATGTTCGGATTTCCAGGATGGATCGTGATGACCATGATGATACCAACGATGGCAGCGAGAATCGTTGTGGCAAAGTAATAGACAAGCGCCCTCGAACCCATTTTACCGCTAGACTTGGGGTCCAGCTGAGATAAACCTGAAATGGAGCACGTTCGTGATCGAAATGCTTTATTCCACACTCCGAATTCATTGCAACATTCCAAGGCGGAAGACATCGAGTACGAGGTGATCCTTCGACTCATATCCGCGCTATCAGTGCTTCCGTGGAAAAGTTCCCGGGGATTCTCATTTTGAGCAAAGCTCGCCCGAGACCTATGTTCTAGGAATGGGTGAACATCTCCCGTATCGAGGGCAACGGTGGGTGGCGATCAGTGAACCACTGGAGCGTATGAAGCGCGAAAAGAGGGCCCCGACGCCGCTCTGAGTCGAGATATACGTTCTCGCACTGTACGCCGACCGAGCCTGTTCCTCTGTCAGCACCACAATCTTTTTCCATAGGGAGCAAGGTCTCTGGAACGCCCGATCCGTGTTGCGGGTGGAGGTGTCAACTCACCTGAGATCATGGAGGATATGATGAGTGGAAGAATGAGCATTTTCAACATGCCCATGAGAATTTCTCCAGGAAATGATATGAGCATGATCGTCTCCGTCGTGGGGGTCGCCCATCGGCCGAGGAATCCAATGAATAAACCCAGCAATACACCGACGATAGTCATCACCAGCAACATATTTTCCTCCCCCCATGATTTCAACTGCAACGAAACAGAACAAACTTTAGTCCTTAGGCTTACGACGGAGCAGGCTTACCTACATAAGTCAAATTCTTGTCCTAGATTCGAATTCGAGGAGCCATCGGGGAATTCGACGCACGAGGAGCTCCACGAAAAACTTGATCCCAAGCTCCGACTTGCGAGGGAGTTTCCAACGACGGACGAATCATAAGGATCCCTTGCAGACGCTCCAGAGTTACTCCTCCATTCAAGTAGCAGCCCGGTCGACGACCATTTCATCTGAGAGCGGTCAATAAATAATTGACGCATGCACACAGCGTGATGAAAAGCTCAATCTTAAGCCGAGGCCGGTGAGCCTCAAATACTCTGGAGCTACCGGGCTCGTCTCGTAGCCATGGCCGGCAGTTAGGTGAGCTCGGGGAACGGGAGGAAGCTCTAGCTCCGGAGTCCGCTTGATTACGCATTCTCCTTCATTTCTATTATTATGACGGAGCATAAGCGACTCGACATCCGTGGTGAATATTTCACTTTGATGATTTTGATAATTTTGGGTGGGGAGCCGTGTTTTTCAGCTGTGTGGCCCGCGGGCAACGGGTGTCCCGGCACGACGGTGAGTACGTCCTTCGCCGTGGGACAGGGTCTCAGAGGTAACTTATAGCGGAGAGGGAACGATGTGTTTCAAGAATAATGTCGCTGAAGCCTGGTCGAGTGGTCAGGTCCTGAACCGATGACTCGGAATTCGGTAATGCGATCCAGCTGAAGAATACTCGACTTCCAGGAGAATGGCGCCCCAGATCATCCGTCCTTGAGAGACCAGGGATTCGCTCTCGAGGTACAAGCTCCAGAATCTGAGCCCAGTTCAAGAGTGATCAGGTTTTCTCGAATCCTTCCTGATAACGCCCGCGTGGCGCAGCGACGGAGCATCGACATCAGCGAGCTCATCGAGGCACACATGAGAACCTTGAAGCGGGTTGATCGTTCACAAGTAGAGTCATTAATGCCGTGTTGCCCAGCCTCGTCCTCTGTGGGTATCTACTCGTTCGCCGGTCTACCAGTCCGTCCATTGCTCGGATATCTTCTCTTTGATGGAAATACTGTATCTCGCTGCGGCTATGATTAATTAGGCAATAAGGTCGGTAAGGACCGACGTGGCCGACAGTAGATTAGATCCAGCTTGCGTTGTTGTGCGCCCGACCTGCTGCCGTCTTAGATATTGAGGATATCTGGGCGGCAAAGCCGGTTATCCAATCTGTTCGGTGGCCAAGGTCGCTCCGCTTCGGAGAATCCCCAATCGTGCTCCCTCTGATTACGAAATGAAAAAGGAAACCTTGCGGCTCCTTTGGCCTGTCGTCGACTCGACCCCGTGCTTTGCGGTTCCATGCAGTCTGACATTGAAGCCCGACTCAACCCTCGAGCCCACCTGACTCGCGCAATCTCTTGAGGTCACCGAGGGCGTTGTTTTTTTCCTTCTTCCAAAAACACTGTTCGCACCCTCCGAATCGCGATTACCTTCGGGTTGCGGAAGGCGGCTGTCGATCTGACCCACCACAAAAAACTCATTCATAACAGCAGCGACGATTGTCAACAAAGGGGTTTTCCACTAAAACAGGAAGCGGCGGCTATCAAAACAGAGTCGAGAATCGAATGGAAAAGAAACATTATTGAAAAGTCCAGCGAGGCAGCTTCTGGAATTTCCGAATTGTAATCGTTTCAACGTAAGCTGTTGTTGCGATTGAGACGGCTGAAACGGCAACACGCGACTCGACAAAGGAAAGAAGGAGAGTAGAAGAGCGGAGAGCTCGCCAGGAGAACAAAGGAAACAGAAACGCTGGGGAGCTGCGACCTTCGGAAAGGTATAGCCTATTTTTGTTGACTCGGAGAATTTGTGTTGACATGAGCCGAGCGCGAAGGCTACGTCGATTCCCGACAAAAGAAACGCACAATTTATATGTCGCAGCACTGAAGTCTCGTGGCTGTGTGAGAGCTCGGAATCCCTCGCTATTAGAAGCTTCACGAGTCGAGTGAAACTCCGAGCAACATAGAATCATGCACTGAGTTCGCAGTCTGAAAATGATATCGTGAAGGGACCGACAGTATCCCAACGAAGACGTCCTCGATCAAGAGCATGCAAGCCCCGTCAGCGATGGGAGGAAGGATCATCGGCATTCAACCAAGAGGCTTGAGTGCTCAACGCGATCCCGCGAAGATGTTTCATGCTCCCAGCGATCCGCTGTGACAAAGGGAGAGTCTATTTCCAATCTGAGAATCCCCACCTACTTGTCGAGACTTATTTCCGAGAATATCATAGTTCGAGTAAATATTCGCTTTAACGAGCACGTCCCTTCAACTGAAGAGTTCCAGCGAGGCACGGGAGCATCAAGACCCCGGAGGCCCGACAGCTCGCTTCCATGCCTTAGCTATAAGGACTAGCATCGGCGAAATGTACTTTAGAATCTGTCGAGAACTCCTCATACAACAACCTCCTTCTCCTTTATTGAGGCGCGATCCTTCCTAATGATCGAAGAATGGAACCGCCGTCGGATCGCCCGACGATGCTGACTGATAAACTGAATGGATGCTCGCTTGCTTGGGAAATAAAGAATCAATCCGAATTGACGATCGAAGCGAGTCAAATAATTCTTTGAATCATTATCGCGGCGTGAAAACACTTCTTCGGCGACAATGCAGGGGAGCGGACGAATCACAATTATTCATTAAACACGGGACGGGCTCCGTCGAGTTTGGCGAGGCGATGAAGAAGACCGAACGTCAATGCTATGAACGAGACATTTGCACAGCCGCCGGTTTGTGGACAATCATCCAACAGTTTCCGTGCGTGGAGATGACGCTCACGTCAATCGGTCTGCTGCTGACTCGACATCGAAGCTCGAATCTATCGAGGCGGTAGCTATTTTTTCTCTTAGAAAGTTGTTCTTGTGCCGGTCGGCGTCTCCTTCTATCTGTCCCGGCCGTTCGTCTGTCGTCGAGAGCTGACTACAGGTCGCCGCGTCGCTTCGAGAAGATCTCGAGGACAACTCGGCGGTGGTAGCATGACAAGGAATGGTCATGTATGTTGAATGTGGAGCGCGAGCGGTGGTCGGCGCGGGCGCCTAATCGTCGGAGACTATATTTTCTGATCTCTTCCGGTTTCTTCCCGAACGACGGGGCGAAAGAATCCGAGAGACCGGCGACGTCGCAGAGTGATTCACGACGATCAAGAGACGATCACAAGCGTGCACACAATCCCACCGACGCTTTCTTGAATAATCATTGTCTCTCCGCGAAGAATACGCCCAGAATACGCTCGTTAGGCAACGTTCGATTCTTCTTCGAAACAATGCGCTCGTCTTCCTCTATTGAATTTATGCTGTTGGACAACTCACCCCACTGCAGCATTTAATTGGCATGGTGCGCGGTCCTCTTCCACCTTCGTAACACATTTCCTCTGTTCGAGTTTGCGAAAATAGCTCTGGTCGTAGTCCGCGAGATTGAGAGGGATGGGACAGATCGGTGAAATGGGGCTCTCAGTCCGCGCACGAATTCCCTCAATGTTTCAACGCGACCACCCTATTAACCTGCATTCACGGACAGGGTCCCAGAGCGGCTGCTGCCGAGTGCGGCGACGGTTGGGCGGGCGGGCGGCAAGCGGGCAGGTAGGCACAACACAGCGAAGGATGGAAGAAACGAGGAAGAAACGACGACTGAGCAGCAGCAGCAGCGGCAACGACGACGACGACGACGAGAACGAACCAGAGCAACCATCGGACGCAACACAACGCTCACCCGGCCGCCGGGCTGTTCAAAAGACTCTTGGCAGCCGAGCGGCGTGTCATGCTCGGGAGAGTCGCTGCAACACCCTGGAGAGGGACAGTGAGACTGAGGGGCGCTAATAAAGAAACGCATGCTGTCTGCCTGAATGCTCGTCGGACAGACGCCTCTGCGAGGCTAGTCACCTCATCCGCATGTTCGTCGTCAGCCCGCGCTTCCGCATTGCCTCCGAACCTCCTATGGCGTCCTCAGACCGTCTGTCAGGGACCCTGATGTCGTCGCTAACCCGCCCCGCTCCCGCCGCGACCAGCTCCCCTGACGTCCTCTCGTTTCCCCGCTCTGCTCTCCGTATTCCTCATCGGTATTTCTGGTGAGAGAGCGCGAACGTTGAAGATTGGGGCTCAACGGCTCCTTGCGGACGAGCCATGTTGATTGCAGAGAATCTTATCCAGGAAAGTTCCAGCAGCCTTCGTTCTACTGCCCGGCGGGCCAAGAGGGAACCCGCTCCGAGCGGGCAAGCGCGCGGACGGAGGAAGACTGTGTCAGCGCTACTCGAAGCACCAAAAACCAATTTGCGGAAGGCAACAACTTTTCCTCGCAATCTCTTGAGACGCACCGATCCGCAGAACGAGTCGTTGCTTTGGTTTTTCATCTCGGTAATCTTCTCTGATTCTTCCGATCGTTCTTTTTCTTCGCCTGCCACGGGAACGTCTCCGAATCCGTGCTCGCATCATGTCGCGTGTCGTCCTTCAAGAGCCGACCGAGCACACGCACTACAACGATGAGGAGCACCTTGAGAGTGCAGTGGGAATACCGCATCGGAGTGCTCGACGGTAATGCGGCTCAGCTTACGCCAGGTTACTTTTGTTTCTGTATTCTGCAATAGTATCTCTTCCATTATGGATCAGCCAGCGGACAACTATCAAAACAGATGCCGCGGCTGGCACAAGGACTATCATGATAAAATATCACACTCCAGCGAAGAGATTGCCGCCCCGGTGTTAGGAGCAGCTTGAACCGCAGCCGCGGTGCGGGAATGCGGCACTTTGGAGGTGATAAATGCCTTCAGGGCAGGGGCGCGCAACGCGCAGGCCGCGGCACTACCTCTTGTGGTCTGCCGCGGCCTCGAGTTCCTCTCGCCGATCTTCTCCTGAGCGGGAAGAACGTTTCTTGTTCCATTTCCGGATTTTCCCGGGTGTGAAGTTTTGAGCTTCAAACGGAGTACCGCATGGGGAATGCAATTCGGGAAATCT